CCCCAGGGGTCAGTTATCATAGGGTGAGATTGAGCGTGAAATAGGCTAATTCTATTTACATGTCCCGAACCTGACTGGTTGGCTGACACACACACACACACACACACACACACACACACACACAGGTGGGTCTGTCTGACAGAAACGGTGTTGTCTCAGAGTTCAATACAGACAACTGGGAACCATTAGCCTGAGGCACAAAGGAGGGAGGAAAGAGGAGTGAACACAGGAGAAGGAAGGAAAGGAAAATAAAAAAGGAATGGAAAAGGGAGGGAAGGTGAGAAAAGGAGAAGAAAGGAAAGAAAAACACCGTTGAAGAAAGGTGAGGAGAAAGAAAGTTGAGCAAAGGACAAGGAAAGCAATGGAACGGAGAAGGAAGGAAAGGAATTAAATGAATTGAATGGAAAGGAAATGTGTAGAAAGGAAAGGAAAGAAGTGAAATGGGCAGGTATGGAGAGGAATGGAAACAAAAGACAAGGTGAGGAAATCAGTGGACAGGTGTGGAAGGGAAAGATGAGAAAAGGTGAGGAAAGGAGAAGGCAGGGAAGGGAAGGAAAGAAAAACGAGGGAAGGTAACTAAAGGACAGGTGAAGAAAGGTGAGGAAAGTGAATGAAAAAGGGGAATGAAAGAAAAGAAGATGACAGGAAAGGAAAGGAGGGCAAGGAAAGGGAAAAAATATAAACAACAACAAAAGCAAAGGCAAGGAAATGAAAGGTTAGGAAAGGAAAGCGATATGTTCAAGAACAGATAAAATCATGAGGGGGAGGACAGCAGCAAAGACTGATGGAAGGAAAGGAAGTGAAGATGAGTAGAGGACAGAACGAGCAGAGAAGTGAGGAAGGAAAGGAAAGAAGTAGAGCGAACGAAGGTGAAAAGGACAAAAGGCCAGAGGAAGGGAAGGAGAGACAGATAGGGAGGACCCAGAATCAAGTGATGCTCCTTCTCCATTCCTCACTCCCTCGGTCCCTGAATCCTTCCCTCCCTCCTTCCAGCTAACGAGGGACGTTCATCAAAGCGCTCATTAAAAGCTACTCAGCAGCTAACGGCTGAACAAACACGACGAGAGAGAGAGAAAGAAAAGCAGGCGAGGTGGAAAGGATGGGCGACGAGGACGGAGGGGTCAGGCAGAGAAATAGGACTGAACGAGGGAAGAGGAAGGAAAAGGAGGAGTAAGGAAAGGAATGCAGACTGATGAGAATGACAGTAACATATGCTACTCAACACAAACGTATCTCCATCTGTCTCAGCGTTTAGGAGCTGAAAATGGACTGTTTATATTCATATTACTATTAAATTAAACATGAAAACAGTCTCTCGTAGCTCCACAAAACCTTTCATCCAACTGTTCTTCATTTACTTTTATTTTTCAGGGAAAGTTACATCTATCAACTAAAGACTCGGCAGTTGGTGGAGACCAAAGCAGAGCTCAATAGAGAATGAATATTGGACTTATTATTATAAATGGACATGAGCACTGAACTGAAACTGGATGCTAATGTTGCTCCGTGTCTGCTGGAGTTTTTCAGCTCTTTGGATAAAAAGCTTTAGCTAAATAAAAGTATTTTTTGGGGGGGTCCTTAGTCGATAAACATACTGTCCAGTTGTTGGTACAGAAGCTTTGATTCGTGCAGCTTTAAGATTTTTAAAGTTTTTACGAGCTTGAAACAAGTTGAATGAAGCTTCCAACTGATCCTGACGATCTTTGTTCCAACAAGAGAAAAATGTGATTGTGGTTAAAAAAAAATAAAAAATAATGCGGTCTCTCATATTCAAACACATGGTATTTTCAGAGTAAAATAATCCGCCTGTGTGTGGTCAAACGCACAGCAGCAGGCCGTCCTGTTCACTTAGCTGTAGCGGCGACCGCCATCGATAATGACACGTTATTTACAAATGCTGCAGCAGATGGTACTGCACACGTGGAATAAACACGATGAGGCATCAGTTTTACGTGTTTTGCTGAAAAAATGTAATCAAGAAGTTCAAATTAAAAGACTCAAAAGACTGCGGGCAAATTTGTTAGAACAACCAGAACCTCATATGTGAAAGTGTTCAGTGTAATAACAGATTGATTGTGCATCTCCTCCATTTTTTTATTTTTTTTTGGTGGGACACAGCTTGTTTTGAAGCACTCCCATCTGAATTGAGCTTCAGGCCTCATAATGCCAGAAGCAGGTTCGAGTTAGGAGCACAGCGGCGAGGCGAAGTCGCCGCTTCAGAACGCACTGATTCACGACTCCTGGAAGGGATTCGACACGGCGTATAATGTGCTCTCCGTCCATCCAGAAAGCTGTCAGTCAAATGAAACGGCGAGTCGGGGCAGCCAAAAGTCAAGAGGTCTTGCAGAACAATCGCCGTCCGCTGCGTTATGGAAGGTGTTTGTTCATGTCGCTCAAGAAACGCCACAAAAATGACTTTTTCGGTGCATTTTCTTGTCTTTGAATGTAACCTTGACACACACACACACACACACACACACACACACACACACACACACACAGAAAGGGGCCACTGCAAGCAACTTCACTTCACAGACTGAACACCACGTTGTGGTCTGACAGACACCAGGGTTGGAAATTTGATTTAGTGCGATGTACGGAAGCCCTGAGAGGCAAAAAGAGAGAAAAAAAAATCTGGCAATCCAGTTTCTGGATTGTTTTTAGTTTTAATTCCTCCTCGCACTCTAAACATAAAAGGTGCAAATATTGTGTGTTAGCAAGTTGTATGAATTAAAACCTCACCTGGAATAAAACATGAATGCCTTTTAGTCCTGTTTAGAACATGTTGTAGTGGTGCACTTCAGCCTCTTGTGACCATGAGTATTAAAACATCAAACACTTTAAAAATAGATTCTTTTATTGTCAGTATCATTTTACTATCTTAAAAAATGATCCTGGCAAAACTTTTTCCTCCACCGGTTTCACATTCACAGAAGTAAAAAATTAATTACGGATAACTTAACTTAATTAACTTTAGATAACTTAACTTTAATATAAATAATTAAGTGAAAGATTATCCAAGTAAAACCTGTTTTTTTACATTTTCTTTAGACATAAACTCAAGAGACTTCCTCTCTCAGGGCTTCCGTAGAACGAGCGGTAAAACACATTTTTCCGTGACTGTTTCATGACTATAAATGTGTTCAACGACACCAGACATGCTCTCGTCTTCTCCAGTCAAGACTGGGGATCAAATACAAGTCTGAACTATCGTCTGTCTGTACATTTAAATTAAGTTATCCAAATGATGTCGTAACCTGCCAAAGTTTCTGGTACGTTATTGCAAACACAGACAAATAATTCGGCACCGCTGGCAGGTGGCTGGTTAGGGTTTCCCTCCCTGGTTGGGACAGAGATTTGGGCACATGAACACAGATTCAGGCAAACGTGCATCACTCCCTCGTCATCTCGCATGCTGGTTTTCGTGAAACACTCAAGTGGGAGATTTTTAGGGGCCAAAGTTGAGGGTTTAACACGGTCAGTCAGGGATCGGCACACAACAACCCAGATACTCACCGGTAAGGTAGCGTGTTCTACCGGCGATCCCTACGGTGAGAAACATAAACCGGGAATTTTAGCTGGATGGCAAAAACAGTAAAAACTGGTGTGTTATTGTTGGGAGACAATAAGGAGTGTGACGGCTGCGTGGAAGGAAAACTCCTCGATCAAAATCCATGCGAGGCCTTTTTCCACCTTTAAGTATTCACTACACATGGGCTCTCGAGATGTTGCCGTTCTGGCTTTATCGGAGGCGCTGAAGCACCGTGTAGGGCTCGGTAAGTCCTGAACACACAGAGGCAGAGCGGGGCCGCCAGAAAACCTGCTCGGTGCACATCAAGAAAAACTGATCGAGCAGCTTATGAGCCATGAAATTGCAGCACTACGGTCAGAGGAGAGTCCAACGTTTACTTTATAACTTTCACATGATCATCCTCACTCCGGGGGCCTTTTCCCCCCCGTTCCATCTTTAAAATCCGAGCTCAATTCAATGATGAGTCTTTAGCTAGCGCTAAACTGTGAGCGGTATTATTAGCTCCTCTCTGAGAGCTGGGACGATGAAGCCCTCCGTGAAGAAATATGAGCCCGCCGAGCTTCCGACCGGTTACATTTAAAAGCCGTTAAAACCGCCACGTAAGCCCAAACACACAGACACTTCAGCAGGAATGTTGCTGCGTCACGGTGAGACGTCACTTAACAAATCGGCGTGTTGGGTTTCAGCGTGCCGACTGTTGGTTGCATAACGTCTCCGAGTGTATTTTTTTACAGTCATAAAAACGTAGATATGTTCCTCTCTCTCAAAGCTTCTCTGACCTCGACCCCCTCTGAGGATGCTGGTCCTCTATTCTCTTCTACTGGAGTTCTACTGAAACATAACGGATTCTTTTACCTTTAAGTTTAACTTCTCTGGGTGTCGTTTTACACATCAAATGATTATTTTATCTCCATTAGTTGGATAGTTGTTTATGAGTTGTATATATATGATCAATATAAAGTTAAGAGGGGTTGGACCTTGTAAGTGTTCTCTCTTCTTCCTCCTTTTCAGACATGTAATATGTATTTATGTTGTTTATTGATCTTGTTTATGAACCTATATTATTATTGTTTGTATTAGTAATAAAAGCTCTGAACTTAAATCAATCGATTAGTCGGCTGAGAAAACAATAATCAGCAAGTTTTGGCCCTAGAAGCTATTGTTAAAGTATTTCTTTATTCTTGCTTCTATCTTCATCAGTATCCAATTCATCTGTGCGCCACACTACTCTTTTATATGATCAGCTCTTATTTCAGAGGGTCATACCACCCAGCTTTTTAGATCCATAGCATCTGATCTACTTAGGAGGCCCCACACTGAGTGTGTGTGTGTTAAAGTGTGTGTGACGGGGTCATGTCCGGGGCTCGCGGGGGTGGAGGAAAAGCTTCTTAGAAGTGCTGGAAAACACTTAGTCGACCACCTTGTGTGCATGGCCTTGTGGCCCTGTGACCCGCTTTGACCAAATCTGTGTGCGCAATCATCTTAAAACTAACCCTTTTGTGTGTGTGTGTGTGTGTGTGTGTGTGCTGTAAGTTTAATGAGAACTTGCCATATGCTTTAAACTGCAGAGAGGGAACTTGAATCACGTGTGCTTTGGAAAGTGTAAATTAGGACTTAAGGAAAGAAATAGTTCCATAGTTCATGGCAGAAAGATCCAAATACAAGACGGGGTTAGAGCTTTGTAGAGCACGTTCGATAGCTGGAATCAAAAACACTTCATTTGATGAGTTCCAAGTTTACAAATTAACTTTAACAAGGCAGATTTCTGGTGAGAGAAGTACATCAGGAACTTCAGGCCACGGCTATTATAGCAGAAAAACGCTTAAGATGATTAATGAAATAAATGAAAGTTGATCAAATCCTAATAATGAATTCACACTGCATCAGTAATGAGTAACGAGTGTGTGTTGCAGTCGGGCTGAGGAGTCAATGGCCTGAGCCGCGGTGTAATCCGGTGCTGCTGACCCGGCTCACCCTTTAATGAGCTTACCGGGCCCCATGTTAACGATCTAACCCGTAACAAGCCCATACTCTAACGAACTAAAGCAGATTGTCCTGCCCTGTGATGCCTCACGCTAACAGGCAGCGAGACTGGTGAGGGAGCTTATATAACACACACACACACACACACACACACACACACACACACACACACACACGCACGCTAAAGTATGTAGCCACAACACATGAAAACACACACATTCCAGGTATGCAATTTGTGCTGAATAGTTTTATCTTAACTTTTTCCCATTTTTTTTACCATTATAATGTGCTTTGTGTGTGTTCGTGTGTGCTTTGTGTGTGTGTGTGTGTGTGTGTGTGAGTGTGTGTACTAACAGGCAGGTTGGTGAACACACTGAAGGTGCTCTTCAGGAAAGCGATCAGGTCGATCAGGTAGTCGCTGGCTTCCAGAGTCCCGCCTCCCGGCACCGCCGCCATCCAATCGTAGTCGGCCAGCTGCAGGAACTGGTCGATCTTGGCATTGAGGTTGGTGTAGATCTCGGCCTCGGCCGCGTGGCGAGCGTCCTGCGAGGAGGCAGAGAGCAGAATATTCAGCGTGTTACCTTGGTACCACGACTGCTATTGTAAAGAGAAAATGACAAACGAAAGATAAAAGTATGGAAACAATAAAAGATAGAAAGAGTCCCGGTGTACCTTGAAGGTGGAGGTCCCGTACAGCTTGGTAGCGTTCGCCGAGTCGGGCGGGACATTTGTGATGTTTGATATGAACTCCTCCAGGAAGTGGCAGCTCTGCTCCAGGTGGGTGGTGTTTATGATCACCTGCACCAACTGAACACAGACGACACAGATATGAAACATGGCGTCTTCAGGTCTGTTTCATACAAACATGCTCCTGCAGAGAAACAGCTGAAGCAGGCTGGCTTATAACAAAAAGAGAAAATATGTTTTATTTCTCAGTTTGAACATTTGTCTTTATGCTCCGCACATTATTTTGAAATTCAACACACACACACACGTGCACACACACACACACGTGCACACACACAGTACCTCTGCCAGCCCGACATTCTTCTTCTTAATGGCGTAGTGCAGGCAGTGGCTGAGGGTTCTGGTCAACAACAGATTTGTCGACTTGCGGATCATGTCGTCTACCTCCGTGGAGCTGAGGACACGTAAACACAGAGACGGGCAGACAATGAGTGACTGTGCAGACGGGACTTCTGCGTCTCAAAGCCAGCACAAACACTTTAAGCCAATTTCTCAGTCTGCGAGAAAACTCTCCATTTGGAAAAAGTCTAAATGTCAGCCAATTGAAATGAGTACATTACCACGTTATGAGCTGTCAGCCTCATTAGAAAGTCAAACATCGCCTTAAATCTCCACTGCAGCTTCAAAAATAATCAAGCTAAATGGCGATTTAAGACTTAAAAATAGTCCCCAAATCAATAAAACATCCAAAGACTGATCCAGAAATATGTTTTTCCTCTTTGCCTCATGTCCTTATACATATATTTACCATCCCCCGCCCTCCACAGACTTTAAACAGTCATAAACTTACCACCTCTGCACAGCCAGCGAGGCAGAAAGACAGCCAGCAGGCCGTTAAATCCCAAACGAGCTCAAATTTCCTGTTAAAGCAAAATGTTTGACGGCGCTAATCAGACCCACTTACATAACAATTGTTTTCGTTACGTTTGAAATGTGGGTGATGTTTGGAGAAGAAACCCAGAAGGTTTTTCATGGCAGCGAGCGCCGCCCTCCTGCCTTAACCGTTTTTTCCTGGAAGAGAAGCTGAACTGGGGCCTGAGAGAGTGAAGGCATGAGGGAGGGGACGAGTGTTTGTCAGGGTGGGCATCAGAAAGGACAGCGAGGAAAAGGTAAGAGGAAGCACTTGAAGGGCACAAATACACAAAACCCAGTTTATAATATAACACACACACACACACACGCAGAGAGAAAGGTCAGAGGAGGACACACAACACTCAGGAGATAATCGGCGGAAACAAAAGCCATCGCTTTCCTCCCGCTGCGGGACGATGAAGAGGAATCTGTGTTTTTAGCGCACGTGTTCGATTCCAGAGCGCTGTGGGTAACAAACACATTCCAACCAAATCACTCAATTATCTGTGCCTGGAATTCAACCTAAACACACACACACACACACACACACACACACACACACACACACACACAGTGTCGCCTGAGGGAGAGCGAGCGCTGGAATTCCAAACTCACTTTGTTTCCAAAAAAGCAGAGGAATCCTAAAAACGTTCCGACGATTTGGAGCAAGTGGGGATGGGAGGGGGGAGAGAAATTCTTCTGCAGAAGTGCGGAGTGGACAAAAATGGTGTGTGGAGAGAGTGGCAAAAAGTCAATGTATGCTAGTGAACTCTGCAAGGGCGTGCGCGCGCACACACACACACACAAATATAGACACACCGCAGAATTTGGATTGAATTTCATCATATTTATGCTGCCATCAGTCGCAATAAATACACGCGGCGGTTGATGCAGTCAAAGGGAAGCCATGAAGCCTTAGGTGCGGGCATGTTTACAGCGCACTGAGGAATGGACGAAGAGGTTTGTCCTAAAAATACACAGACAGCAACGACCACAACAACAGCGGTCAGTGAGCAGGGAAAACAGTGAGAGGTCAGAGCGCACAGAGCCAGGAAGCCACAGGTATGAACCACCGAACACACTCTGGAGAGTGTTTCAGCAACATGCAAACACAATAAAAACAGTGTTTTATTATTGGAGGCTGGGAGCAGTGACCGTGCTACGTACTGTAGCTACGCCCCCACATGTAATAGAGATCAACTGTGGCCCTGCAAGTACGCTCTGCTTTCTCTATGCTGGTGTTTGGGAGATGGACAGCTTGAGTGAGTATGTAAGTGTGTGTGTGTGTGTGTGTGTGTGTGTGTACGATGGCAGGCAAATAAGAGTTCCACTCATATTTTATAGAATTTTAAAAAGCTAATAAATAAATAGCTGCAGCCCTTTCAACATGATGGGAAAACGAGACGGCATCGTATAATCACAAGATGAGTGTTCATGCGTGTAGGGTTGTATTTCTGTGATCGGTTAAACGTTGGAACCAACTGCAGAACAAGCCGTGACACCTGTGACTCATGGGAACTGGGAGCCAGGCTGCAACAAACCAGCTTCAGACGCTCTCTGGCAGGAGCTCCACCGTGGCTGGATCTCTCTGCTGGTGTTTGTGATCAAACGTCCAGATCGACACATGCAATTTGATTTTGAATCGGCCGATTGTCTTCGCTTCGGTGGAAAAATCGTGGAGAAAGAAGCGTCGCCTGTTTCATTTCCAGCTTTTTTTTTTGCCTCAAAACATGCTGGCTCAGCGTGCATGCTCTCTCTCAGGAACACCCCTGCTTCGTTTTTTCACAACTCGACACATTCACACAGGTCTTCTAATGCCGGAGAGCAGTTCAGGGTCCAGTGTGTGGCTCATGGGCAGCTATGCGGGCAACTGTCCGGGAGTCAAACCGGTGAACGTTTGGCTACAAGCCCAGTTTTTCTACCTCGAGGCTGCTGATGTCTTTCCCACAAATGTAGTTTACGTCTGGAAACAAAATGGAGAAAGGATCGACCAACAGACACACAAACATACAGACACTCCCTTTCCGCTCAAAATCAGAATTGAGAACAGAGGTTAAGGTCAGAGTTCAGAGGGATCAATGACCACAATCCTGCTCCATCATGCCGTCTGCTTCCGGACCTGTGCGTCCGTTTGAAGCGGGCAGGAAGGCGTGCCTGTAACCAGATAGCAGCGTGTGCAGCGCCGGAGAAATCAAGCCAGGTCAAATAGTGGAGTCATTACCCTGATTGAGGAGAGCGATTAGTGCTGTCTGGTCAGCGAGAGACAGGAGAGAAACCGTCTGGACACTTTTGTCCGTTGGGGGAAAGATGATTTCACTGAGCAGACGGCCTTTTGGATGATGACGTGTGTATCTACGGTGGCTCTGAGTGGTCAAACAACACGACCGGAGGCAGAAAATCAAATCTGTTCCGACAAATTTACGGACGAAAAAGTTCGGAGTCTGAGTGTAAATGTTAACACAACGTGACGAAAACTACGGACTTGATGTGTAAAGGCCTGAAGTGAACTGAATACACAGTTTGAATTAGTTTCTTTTCATCCCTTCTCTTTTCTCCTATTATACTAATTCCTTCCCTTTGATCAGACACTCCTCCTCCTGCCTCCGTCTCTCTCTCTTCCGCCGGTCACGGATCAATGGTACCTCCCTGGTTCACAGCCCCCACCGGGGAATCAACACACACACACACACACACACACACACACACACACACACACACACA